AGTAACCATTGGTATATTAAATCGTCTGGCGTAGCTAGTAGTATAAGTCTAATTTTTGGCATTTTTCAGCATTATTATTGGGAAAGAAAATATAGTTTTATTATAGGATTTTTGTTTTGGTGTTTATCTCGCAGAACATAAAGCCACACTGTCTGATAATGTGTACCAAAGGTTTGTTTAAAATAAAGTAGTAAATCTTCTTCAGGTTGTACAGACACATAAGTAACGCGTAATATATAAACGTTTTTTTTTTTTTCACACCCGGTGGCGTGAGCGATTCAACCTGCAGATAACAACGATAAATAATGCAAAATAGTCCGAAATTCGAGTGTAAACGGCACTGAACGCCCTCCTGACATTTTGAAACGTCCGGCTTCGAAACGTTATCGGATCCCAATATCTTTCCTCCTCCCATAATACATGTGTGACGTATACGTATATCCGTTCGAAATTTCAGATTTAGATCACATAATACGTAGAGATTATTGGGGTGTATGTCGTATGCGCACAAAAAAAAAAATATAGGTTTACTTATTTTTATTATAGATTATACGATATAATACCTATTCCGGTTTTCGTCGGGCGACGAATAATTTTCTGCCGACGTCGCGCGTGTCGTTTTTACAGAAAATGTTTACCCGTGTCGAATTTTTTTTTTCTTTTTCTGTGTATTATGTTATATATTTTTCACGTATATTTTCGATATTGCGATAACCGAGCGCAGGAAAAAAGTAAAACGGGTTTTTTTTTCCTCCACGCAAAACGGTAAATTACTAGCCTATTGTGTGCGCGAAAATCGCGCGCACGGTTAAGTCGCGTGTGTAGTCCGCCGCTGAATGTCAACACGGTTCCGGATCCGTCTATTTAGCAACCCGTTACGGAAATGGGATCCGACGAGTGACTATATAATAATATTATATGCGTGTGTGAGCCCACTCAATTATACAATCAATTGTCATCGTTGACAATATCGTTTCCTCTCCCTTATACTGTATACATACATATATATGTATAATATAATATGGGGACCCTCTTTAATTTTGATCGGGTTTTTTTTATCTTTTCCAACGTAACGCGCGATTTTTACCCATTGTTGCTATGCGCATATAGTACAGTAGTACTATAGTAGCGTAGTGCATGTAAATGCCCCGATTTATAAAAACAATTTTTTTTTTTCCCCAATATATTATACGTGGGAAACGTGTCTCGGTTTCAATATTATTATATTATTACGGTCCGAGTCGTTTAATTGGTCACGATATCTGCAATCGTTCACCCGCAGCCGGGGGCAGAGGATCGAAATCACGACCCGTCATCGAAAAGTGCCGAGGAAAAAATGTATTTAAATCGTGAAATTATATATTGTGTGGCGAATATATTATAATAATATATATAACGCAACTACGTCGCACAGTGCATGCAATTTGAACGTTTGAAGTCGACATTTTTATGAAACTCGTATGCAATTCACGAAAAATTATTGTAATAATAATAAACAGGTATGATTTAGGTATTATATAATATAATGTACCTATGCTACAGGTGTGTAGTTATCACTACTTTGATAGGCTGACTTTTTTGAAAGGGAGTCGGGACTTGGCCATTTCTCATGATCAAAATTTTGTATTAGGTTACATTAAGGTTTTTTAGAATTTTTTTTTTCAATAAGATGTTCTTTGAAGCTTAATAATGTTCCCCAATGTTTTTAGATTTGTTAAGGTTAAGGTTAAGGTTAAGAGTTTTTTTGTTTTTAATTTTTTATATATGTAAATAATAAGTTTTAAGGAAAGATCTTAAGATAAGATGAAAATTTTCTAAAAAAATAAAATGTACTAATTTTTTAAGTTTACTTAGTTTTACTAATATTAGTAAAATTGAATTTATTTGTCAATATATGTACAAATATGTACCCAAATATAATATGGTAAAAATAATCAGAAAAATATTCGTATTAACGCGGCCGAAAAAAAAACAGTCGTCGTTTATTTTTATGAGAACACTTGGTTATTAGGGTAAATTTTTTTTTATGTAACGAATAACCAAGTAATATTTTTCACAGTACATCGTTTCTCTCTTTGCACAAAAGTACTATTCGGTGTTTTTTTTTTTTTTTTTTTGATGTTTTTGATCATAATATAATATGGATACAACAACAATAGTAAAAAGGTCTTCGACCTATACTGAAAATGATACTTCAGTTAATAAAGCGTTGATAGCGGACGTAAGCCGTTTGATTGGTGAGAAAAGACAACTATCACTGTCACCGACGGATTGCGCGTATTCGGAGAAACTGAAAGAAAGTTCTCCGGAGAGCGATGAAAAACAACCGCGTAAGTTTTTTGTATTTCTTTATTGCAATATTATTTCCGTTCACCGTTGTACATAACGACTGCATGGTTATAAATACTATTTTCACGAGTGTATACATTTGAAATTGCATTATTGTAGTTTTTTAATTAATAATTACAAAACTTAGAGCATCAGCCGATATTGAACTTGTTCAGGCTCTCAGTACCTTTTAAATAATTACACGATTAGCTTCAATATAGTTAATACTTTTTAAATTAAATGTAGAGAGTATGCTTATGGTTAGGCAATAAAACAGTATTCTCTATATCTTTAATACGTTTTCTGAAATGTGCAAGATTAGCGGTATCTCCTGCTACCCCGATTCATGCGTCATATATTCCGGCGTCACCGTCTTATTACAACCAGTCGTCACCATCCTACAGCCCGACGTCACCGATCTACAGCCCGGTATCATCACCGTCGTAAGTATCTGTGATAGTATTCTAACTAATAATGTTCAATATTTAAAAAAAAAAAAAAATTGTGTAGAGAAATTGTGACTTCATCAAATGTATAATTATTTAGATTTTTGAAAATTTAGTTGGATATTTTGTACCTTGGGTCAATATAAAATTAAATATAATAATACGTTTGTTCATATATATATATAGTTGTACCTTTATCCTATAACCATTGTGTAATGACATGCACACATCACAAGGTTCACAATATGAATATGAATATGATGAACTCATAATAATATGCATTTCGAGTGACGATGATGGTGACGAATAGCCGCATCACTTTACTGATGGGATTCAACCATCCAACTTGTGTTTTTTTTTTTTTTTTTCGAAATATGTTACTTTTCGCCTATTTATTGAAATAATTAATTAATAAACGATAAAACTTCACGATTGTGTTTCTATCTTGTACAACTATTATAAAACAGTTTTCGGTCGTACTTTATACGTTACTGGCTATTTTTTTTCAGACTTAATTTGTAAACATCTTATATTAGTCTAATATTTAATAATTCTATAATTGCATAATACTGTAGGAAAATATTAATCAAGTATACAATTTACCATTGTTAAGAAAACTGTAAATTTCTTGGTTTATAACATAAAAAAAAAGCAGGTCCCGCATAGGGCCCCACGAATTTCCCCCCCCCCCCCCCTCCTCCGAACTAAACTCAAAGACATTTCTGATTTTTTTTTTATTACTACTGAACAACGTACTTAGGTATATATAAATATTTACACCGTGCGTATTAATATATTTATCAAATTCGAAAACATAGAAAATTATAATTATATTCTACTATAATGTATATAAAAGGATTCGATGAAAAAATCTCATTGATACAATATGATGTTATACTTATATATAAAATATATCTCCGGAAATCATAATACTAAAAAAAAATGATTTCTATATTACTGTTCGGAACAATGGAGAAAAAATCAGGGTTTTTTGGTTTAAATTGTATACGATAAATATAGCTGATATAATACAATCCCGCGATAGATAAATCAGGTATTATATAGATATACCACGCGATACCGAAGACAATATAACAATATATTATTATATTGTAATCCTTTAAAAATTACCTAAATGGTAAAAAAATAAAAAAAAAAAAATGAAATTTTATAAAGAGTTCAAAAACGTTTGAAATTATGTTATTTTCAGCATACGACCGCGTCAAAGCCATAAAATATTCTGGTTTATTATTATACGCGCGCGTTCGATTTGAATCTCGTACTGAACGAATTTGCAGTATTATGTGAGTATAGAATATTTACTATAACGTACATGCTATATAAGTATACACAGTGGAACGTGAAAATTGTATATAAAAAAAAAAAAAACATTTTTTTTTCTTTGGCTTATTTCCTATAGTAAATGCATTTTCCACTAGGTATATAACCGAACGGTTAACATAAAACGGATTCTCGAGTTTTATAAAAAAAAAAAAAAACGTATTCTCGATTTGCTAGTATTTTTGACCTGCGCGCCAGGGATGCGCTCACTAAATGGATGAGTGTGTCATATCCTCCATTGATTTTTTTTTTTTTTAATAATCAAATTATACTTTATAAATTACACAGATGTAATTATAAGTAGTTGTTTAAATTGTAGTTCTCGATAAAACGACTAAAAACCTAGACCCTATAGAAAAATTGACTCAGTTTTGTAATTTTATGGTATAAAATAATATATTATTATAATAATAATCGTTGTTGTTAAATCTAAATAATAGTTTATGAAGAATATATTAGATTAGCGATGGTAATGGTTGGTAAACCTGTGTTCGGGCTTGTGCTAAAATGTATGTTGATTAGAGATTGATATATTTAAGTTTACTTTATGACAATAATATTGTAATATTGAAATGTATAGCCTTATCCGCGGTGTAAACAACACTGTTCACAACACTGATGTGCGCCGTCCGATTAAACTGACTCTAGGAAAAAAACACCCGCGATAAAAACGCCAGAGAGAAAAATGTCCAAAGTATAAAACAAAAAGCTTTGGTGAAATTAAAAATTTGCAGATGATATTATTTTGCTCGTGGTTTTTGCAAGTTTGAGCGTTTTTTTCGTCGGATATTTTGATGTATAGAATACCGATAGAAGCGAAACGATACGAAATTAAAGTTTTCGTATACCCGGAATAATAAAACAAAATAAAAAATTGTTGAACCGCTCGAAAATGACTAAACGCGAATACGAAATAATAATGTATGGAAAACAAAATATACCGCACAGAAAGCGCTGTTCTATATTCATATACATGTGCTTATTGCGTATGCTTTAGTCGAATAAAATGTGTATAGGAGGGGTTGGTTTGGGCGACGGCAAAGCGAGATCAGCAGTTTTTTTTTTTTTTCTGGTTTTCTTCTCCGTATTCCAATCGTTTGCCGAAAATCGACCGAAAGACAAACATTTTCGTACGCGAAAAACATAGTCGATTGAAATTCGAACCGACGCAAAAACAGTTGGTACCTACAATACTTATGAATATATTCATGATGAATACGCCAAACACAAACATATAATAAGCGTCAGAGACGTTTTGTATATGTTTTAAATTCTCAATGACGCTATAATATAGTCAAATGAAACACACACACACACACACACACACACGCGCGCGCGCGCGCGCACGTACAAAATGCAGTATTTCCACAAACAATATAGGTATAGAGGTACCTATAACTACGTAGCATAACGCATATAGTGTTTTTACGCTAAAATGTTAAGTATATCATTCGATTCCCGGTCCTGCTATAGCTACTTATTTGGATCTACATTCTGTTTTCGGTGGCTTAAGTGAATTAAATTTTACAATCTTCTTATTCACTTAAAAGAAAGTAAATTTTCCATAAACCAATGAAAAAATGAAAGGAAATATATTTACCTGCTTCATAATTATTATTATGGTAAACACAATTAATTATAATTTAATTACCTATACTTAGCCTGCAATATATCATTGGTTTCAAGGAAGAAAGGCATTAGTCAATTGTTTCCATATTCTAATGTATTTTCTATAATAATACAATATTTTTGTTTTAATTTTCCCTAACTTATCATAATTTCCATTATTTTTCCTATTTTCTTGTAATTTTTAATTTATATATATTTTTTAATAAAATTGACTTACGCCCTTCTTCCTTGGGATTAAAAATGAATGAATAATATTTAGGTATAGACAATTTTTTTACTTTTAAACAATATATGAACATTTCAAAAATAATTGTTGCAGGTATTTCGAAAGGGGGTGAGTTTTATATCATCCCACCTGGCTCCGGCACTGTGAAGGGGCGATTATCATATTATAAATCGTGAATTTTTTTAATTTTAATTTTCATACGAAAGATACGCCTAAAAATGTATCGCGTGACACAAAACTATCACGGAAATAATAATAATAAAGTAAAATTAAAAAAAAATTAAAGATAGGAAAAAAAGTCGTCCGATGATCTTGGAAATTTTACCACGTCCAGGTAAGTAAAATATAAGTATTATTACCAAGTTTCAAGTCTTTGCGTGTATTTATAACCGAATTAAAACAAAAAAACTCCCAAAAATTAAAATTCCTTAAAAGTTCAAAGGTTTTGGCGATGACACCGTAAGAAAGTTAATTAAAAAAGGTAACAAAAAAGGTATCTTGTGATTTTTCGATTAAATCATTTTTTCTGGTAGAAAACGACGTCCGTGTTTTTATGAAATAATAAAATCGTAAATTTGTACGTTTCCCCAAATAAGTACTTTTATTTAAAAAATGGCGTCAAAAATCAACAATGACTCTTCAAATGTACAATCTGGACAACTTGACCTTTCAGAAATGTTGCTAGACGTAAAAATCGGAGCAAGTTTACTAAGAAAAAACGTGTCCGCGGACTAGAACAAAGAAATAAACATCTTTGTAAAACTAATAGCTCCCTCGTAGCGTAACGCTCGGAATCTAATAAAGCTGATTATCTCAAAAACAGTGCGGCCGGATCGGACCCGAGGATCCGGATTCCGGATCGGTCAACGTGTTGCTCAGCACTGGGTACAAACGCAGATAACATAATAATACGTGTTTTTACGTTCAAGTTTGATTACGTACGGGCCCCAATTCGCTGTTAATCACTTGTAGTAATAATTCATCAACGCGAAACCGTTTCTATACCGAACGGAAAGTCGACATTACCGAATTTTAAAAAATGTTCATGCCGCAGCACGGTACAATGCAATACGCGCACATTCTAATACTGAACCGTTACACACATGTGCGTGCGTATTATTGTAAGTACACGTTATACGGATTGATGCCGGCCCCGTCACGAATGTAATATCATTATCCCGCCCGCCGTCCCGTCGTCCGGAGACGAACACGGTTTTTCGAGTATTTTTATTTTTATTTTATTTTTTTTTTTTTTTCGCCGACGAACAGATGCCGCCCGCGCACCCTTGCGCGGGCGCGCGGTTCGCGGGGGACGAGCGCGCGATTCGCGGCACGAAACCCGATGCGACGTGCGGGGCCG